AATGAGGCAGGATACAGATGGGTCAAAGGACAGTTAAGGAGCTAGTTCTACAGACACAGTCCATCTTCTGCAGTGTTCCTGTAATGCTTCAGTACACTTGGCAGGTCCACAAGTGTCCTTAAAGGAACCAGATTGTGTTGGAAGAGAGACCACTGCAGACAGGATTGGTATGGCCAGAAGAAGGAAATAGGTTCAGCAAAGCAGTAAATAATGTGTCTTGGGTGGTGTGGTATGGATTAAGGTTAAGTCAGAGCTGTGGTTGGAGAAAGAGATCTGTCAAATGGCATGAAGTTTCAGTAAAATTCAGAGACAAGGAGAATGGAGGGGTGAACTAATCGGTACTTGTGCTAGATACACATCAGGCAGAAAAGCCTCTATGGAGCCAGGGCAAGATGCAAATTTCAGGGATAATTGTCAATGAGTTTTGTTATGTCCATGGGAAATTGAAATGTCTATTGCTGTTTTGTTTTGTTTTGTTTTTACCTTTAGTAGTTCAGCTATTTTCCAGTTAGTCCTATTGTGGGTTTATTCTTTGACCCTAAAACCTCTTAAATATCTCCCTGGTTCTTATAAGCACAGGAGGGTTTCTCCTCCTCTTGGTTTATTATAGTAGCTATCTCTTTATTCCAATCCATGTTACACACACTGCCAAGTTAATCTTCTTAAAACATCACTTGCCTCTTGCTAATTCCCTTAATTGAGAAATGACAATTGTCTTGTTTTTTTCCCATGATTTCTCCCAATCCAGCATCAGGAGCAAACCTGTTTTGTTCAAAAAACTATAAGTAATGTGAACCATGCCATTATTAGCTACTATTAACTCCCATCTGCTTATAAATTGTATCACTAATTCCTGAGAACACTGGAATTCAGACTCAAAGTCCACTTCTGCAAAAGTAGGAAGACCATGGTAGACATCAGATTAGTGCTAGGGGATATATTTCCTAATGTGAAGTCAATTCATACACATTTTTGCCATCCAAAAAAAAATTGTTAGGTTTTCTCTGTTGCTCAGGTAATGTTTTGTTTTTACTTTTAGTAGGTCAGATATTCCTTCCTTTCCTAAACCAAAGAAACCACACCATTTATCCAATATACTTGACCTCTCCCAAAACATGTTTACATGAGCCCCTCTTTCTTGTCTTCAGTTCAGGTCAGACTCCTCATGGCCTCTATTCTTGTGCCTTTGCTCCTGCTATTAGCCAACCTCGGAAAAGCTCCCACACATTTGTCCAGATCCTACCTATACTTCTATACATACCTCAGGTTTAATAGTTCAAAAATGGTTGAATAATGACAGTGTCATATGTTTTGACCTGATAGTTCAGGAAAAAGTCTCAAGGCTAAACTTCATTGGTCTACTTTAGATTTCATATCCATTATTAAAACAATCATCATGGCTGTCGGGATGCAGTGCTCTCATGGGCCAAACCTGAGTCTTATTGTCCCACTCACAGAGCCATGTGGGCAAAAAATGAGAAAAGACTAATTTATCAAAGGAAATTTAATGTGCTATCATCAAAGGGGGGGAAAAAACTGAGCAAGGTGTGCATATATGAGATACGAAAGGTAGAAATTTACATGAAGGTAATGAAGCTTAAACTTCAGGGAACTTCACTTGCACAGGTTTCTTCCAAGACCACGTATCTAGTTTTATATTTAAATTGTTGAATATTTTTTTAAAGAAAGGCCTACAAATTGCAAAAGTTCTAGGACCAGTAAAACCTGGATGTTCCCCTGCTAAAAACATAAATATTTGTAAAATTAATAAATAAATGTTCCCAACATATTGGGCTCCTTATTTTTAGTAGAAATGAATCATTTAGTGGACAATTCATTCACTTTAAATTCTTCACAATAACTTAATGTCTTATCTTTTGACATTAACAGAAAAGAACTTAATCATTCACTTCAGATGTCTCCAGCTTCAATATCTTAACATATTTTAACATACTCAGTATCTTAACATATTTTTCTCTGCCTGTGTCACAGACCCACTCAGATAAGACCCTTTTCATTGTTTTTCACCCCCTCGAACTGTGTTTCTAAATGAAATCTGCCTCCCAGTATCTCCATTCATGAGAGGCCTGACCAGTTATAGTTATTCGTGGATCACAATGTGGTTCCTCATAGCACCAATGTGAAGAAATGTGCCAGTGGTTCATGTTCACTCTAAACTGATATTCTCTCATAGTATTCTTTTTAAAAAAATTCCAAATTAAAATTATACTTCCATGGAGAGAACATGAAATGTAAGGTATATCTTATATTGGGGTGAATCTAGGGTGTGAGCCTTATCAAAGCCATTCAACTATAGGGGAGATATGTCAAAATTGGATCTGGGTAACCAGAAAATGTGCCCTTGTTTTTGAGTTTTCCAACTGCACTTTAATCTTCTTCTTGGCAGTTAAGGCCAAGGGGAATCTATCTACAAATGACAATTTCCACTTAATACCCCAGCAGGTGTCCAAGTCTATAGTCCTTTAGATGTGGCATTGCATTTGTCCCATTTATTCCTTAGTTTTCTTCCCTCTCTCACCTCCTACAAGAAATATGGCATGGAGACTGGGCAGTGCAATTTTGTTGCCTTTTTTTTTTTTTTTTTTTACTTTTAATTTGTTCAAATCAGAAGAAGGGGATGAGGGCAGGAGCCAGATGGTTGTAGCTAGAGTAGAAATCTACTACTGCAGAGCTTTGAGATTCTCAGATCTAGTGCAAGTCACAATTTTCTTGCAGTGAAAAGGGATGAAATAACAGACTAGTGACAAAAGGCTTCTAGCAGATTGAGCCCCAGTGCCCCATTTTCTCCATCCTGTCTACACACATGTAAAAGGCAGTGTCTTTTCCAGTCATTCTCCAAAGCCCCCATCAACCATGGACTACAGCAGATTCTCTTAAAGTTTGGGGGAAGGAGGAGGAAGACAATTCAATTATAATGAAAGAAATTTTTATCATAGGACTTAAAGAATTTACAAATGAGTATCATGAATTTCTCTTTAAAGTCCTTCAGCCCCTCAGTCACTTTCTTCCTAACCACTCACCAAATCCCAGGCACTTGATGTAACTAACCCTTAGCCCCTCCTTCTCCCTATGCACGTGAAGTAGAGAACAAATTGAGACTGAGCGAAAGAGGAACAATAAGGCTAAGGGTTAAACTCTTTTATCTTCTTATATTTGAGGAGATTCAGCCAATAGAAGATTCCTTTCATACTGCTCTCTGGACCATCTAAAGCCCTAGAAGATAACAGCACACAGAGGTCTGAAGAGAACTGATGGTTCCCTCCCCTAGTCTGTGATAAAGAAAACTGACTCTCAATCTTTTATGAAATAATATGTAAATGCAGCTGAACATCCACTCAAATATCCACTTGTTAGGTTTTGTTTTTCCCTCCCCAACCAGACATATAATGCCTCTTCCAATACTATTCCAACTCTCTCATACCAAGGTGTCCTACAATTCAATTCATTTCTATCACTAACTACCTGGAGTTAACATTAGACTCCACAGGTATAAAGGCTCATTCCCACAAAACTGCCCTTACTTTAGAGGCCAGTCAAAAGTGTTAGACCCCCAGGTACTCACTCTTCTGTCCAACTTGGTGACAAACGCAGGGATTCCAATCTCCTTTCTTCTCAGGTTCAATAATTTGCTAGAATGACTCATACAACCTGGGGAAACACTTTATTTATTATTATCAGTTTATTTTAATGAATACTCGGGAATAGTCAAATAGAAGAGAGTCACAGGGCAAGGTATGGGAGTGGGATGCAAGGAGCTTCCATGTCCTTTCTAGGTATGCCACCCTCACAGCACCTGGATGTTTTCCCTATTGTAGAAATTCCCCAAACTCCATTCCATAGTTGTTTAGAAGTTTTTAAATGGTGGTTTCTTTATACTATAGATATAATTGATTAAATACTAGGGAACTCAATTGCTTATCCCCTCTTTTTTCCCCAAAGGTTGGAGTGAGGCTGAAAGTTCCAATCTTCTAATTAAGGGCTATTTTTTCTGGCAACAAGATGCTCCTGTCATCTTTATCCCTCAGGTAATTTCCAGGGGTCTTTGGAGTTCTGCTCCAGGAACCAGGTTCAGAGGCTAACTATCTCTCTTATTTTATTACACCATGTCAGTGTTTAACTGTCCTGTTTAAAAAAAAAAAAAATCCAGAACCACCCCGACCGATTCTGGCTCTCCCTTTTTATGCACTTTCCATATCCCCTTAAGAGATTGACCAGGAACCTCTGATTTGTTCTTGATAGGCTTTTCCCCATGTAACTAGTTCCCCTGTGGCAGAATTCTTTTATCTCTCTCCTCCAATAAATCATTCATGAGAACAAGCATCCTCAGAGCATTAGAGTCGAATGCCCCCTACTTGCTCTTCTTCCCAGAAGGATTTTAGGAAGTCAGTGGTTGAGAGTGAAAATAAGTGGCTGACACCTCATTCCAGTCCCTTTTCATATAGGCATCTGCTCCTCTTTCCATTGACCTACAGGTTATTGATGCTCCAAAGAGGAGAAAGGATAATTTTTGAGGGTCCATGGAAGTGTTTTGGCTCTTACTTCTTCTTATTTATACTGGGAAACTCAGAGCTGGATCCTGAGACTTGTCAATGCAAAACTAAGAGTTTTGCTAGTTGAAATGGGATGGGGATGAGGACCAATTTGAGTGAATGTCTCTGTGTATTCCACCTGATAGCCTCCCCACCCCCACAAACAACAACAAAAACAATTCAGGGAAACAAAGCTTCCCTTTTATGTCATCAAGAGATCTTTCTTTGAAGCAAAAAACTCACTCCCTCCTGTGGCCCCAGACAGACTCCTCTGAGATGCTGAGGGCTTGAGCCCACGTTGGCTCATTTAAAATCCTGTTTAGGTCCCAGCATGTGGCAATGTGCTCTACTCTGATGACACTTTTCGTTTCTAATAATAGAGCAGATGAAGTAATATTGCAATTGATGTTCCCTGGGATTTGATTGGATAAGTGTATAAACTGTGGAGGGGGAAGGGGGTTGTATGGACAGATCACATTAGTATTCCTGTCCTATCAATGTGCGGGGCCGCGACCAACGTCAGCCGGACCGATTCCCTGCGTCTACCAGTCCCGCCACGAATTCATTTGGGATCCTTAAACAGAGAGAGGAGCCCGCGGAGAAGGGATCAAGGCAACCGATTAGAGCCAATTGCCTGCAGCGGGGACAGCCAGCCCTTCCAGGCCTGGCGACCGCAGAGGGAGGGGAAAGAGGAACTGAGCACCGCTGCGGGAAGACACTGAAGCAAGAGCGACACCCTTTCCCCCCCCCCCCCCCCCCCACCACCTTGCAGCGCAGGCTTTGAAAGCTGCTCCCCCATCTGAATGGAAACTCGGAACCGTGGGGCAGCGCGTTCCTCCTCGCTCAGCCTTGCAATCCATGCCGAGAGGAAAGCGGTGCGAACCCACGCCAGTGTCCAGCTCCCGGGACAGGGCCGGCAATGCTGCTGAGCAGAACTTGATCGCGCCTCTTCACAGCTGGTAGTGGAAGCGATGCTGCACTGCACAGCCAGCGCTTCCCCTGCTCTCCTTCAAGCTGAAGGTTACCCACCCGCGCAGCCAGCTCCAACCTTGTGAGCTGCGCGCCTCGGGTCCCGGCTTCTGCTGCTTGGCCGCGTAGTGCAGGGCAACCACCGGGCCGCCCGCGCCGGGGCGCACTGCACCAGCGTCTTTGGCTTGGTGGATGTGTATGCATGAGTTCTGCACCGAATGGGCGCAAAAAGCGCCCCAGCCGGTCCGCCCGCTCCTCCATCTTCCAGATCAGCAAACCCCCGCTGCAGAGCGGAGATTGGGAGCGCAGGGGCAGCGGCTCCGAAAGCGCCCACAAAACCCAGCGAGCCCTGGACGACTGCAAGATGGTGGGTGAAAATTGCGCCTCTTTTTTTTTTTTTTTTTAAGAGGGGGTGGGGAAGTCGTGTATGTTAATCGTTCGCTTGAGTGCCAGCCACTCCCCATCCTCGGCTCCTCCATGCTGATCACGTGCCATGTACTATTTTTAAATCTGCAGTCCCCCAGATTCGGGGTGACAGCCCGGTCGTAATGACCCTACGGAGAAAAGTGCCACTACTAGGGTCGTGGGAGTAAGGATCTGTGGTTGTGCCTCTAACCCCTGGAAGAATGGTGGATGTGAAAGACAGGGTGAACTGGCTCGCTCACAAGGAGGGAGGGGTTGGGGTTGGGGTGGGGGGTGCTGCTTTGTGGTGAGACAGTAGCAAACAAACCCAAACAGAGAGCACGGGGCGCTGCGGAGGGGATGAAGAAACTGGCAAATCTTCTTCAGGCTCCAGAGCCAGAGGGGTTCCATGGCCAGGCAGGAGGTGACTGTTTTTGCCTGTTAACATCCTAGTCTTTTATCTCGTGCCACTTCATATCCATGTCCTAGCAGTAGCAGAGGGGAGCATCTACGTGGGAGTCCCAGCATCATTCTATAGTGACCTGCCTGGGAGTGGAATGATAGCTCTCCAAATAAGCTCTTGCTCTTCAGAAACATTCTGAATGGGTGGGGGCAAGTGGTTGTGCAAATAGAGTTTCCAGGATTAGGCTTGCTTATGGAAAAAAAACATTTGCTTTGGATAAAGAGACTTTCCATCTTTGCGCCTTAACTTTAAACAGTCTTTAGGGTCCTTGACAGAAGATGTGGGGAGGTGGCTCAGAGGTCAGTGAAATTTCCTTTATGTACACCGAAATAGGAAACTTTCTGATGACAAGTGTTTGGTGAAAGAAACTGGCTTCTTTTCCAGCTTGTCCAAGAGTTCAACACGCAAGTGGCTCTGTATCGAGAGTTGGTCATTTCAATTGGGGACGTCTCAGTCAGTTGCCCCTCACTTCGCGCGGAAATGCACAAGACAAGAACCAAAGGCTGTGAAATGGCCCGTCAGGCACACCAAAAACTGGCTGCCATCTCAGGGTAGGAGTCTCTTGGCATTATTTGATAATCTGTATATGAGGCATGGATACTGACAGAATGTTAATGGTGTCCAAGGGTCAGAGATGATCTTTGCAAATTCGGTATTTAAACCAATCACCCTAAGGTTGGAATTCTCTAGAGAGCTATAAACAAACTATAGGCCAAACCATAATCTGAAGGCTATAGGAGTCTTGTGTGTGGAGAGGTAGTAATAAGTGATTTATTTCTTTAAAAATTTAACTTTCAGTATGATGGCTGCATAATGGAATTGGGGACTTAAGATTTGAGGAGTGGGATTGAGAATCAAATTAAAGTTAAATTATCGTGCCTCAAGATTATTTTGTCATCTGCTGCCAAAGAAAAGGGCTATGCTGTAGAGAGAAAATCTTTGCTAAATTTAAGATTTACCAAACTATTTATACCATGAGTTAAATTCCTATGATTTAAAATAAAATCCCTAAAATAAAGTATTGGATATAAATTACTCTCTTCACTGTAATGATATTGAAAGTGAGGGGTTTTGTTTGTTTGTTTTTACAGATTGGAGAAATTCACAAATCTAAAAAAACCTAGGCCACTTTGTTCCTACAAGTTATTCAAGTCTATGTAAGGTGATAATAGAGTGAGTGAAAACTTTTCTCCTGGGACCCCATCTACTCCTTCTTGATCTCCATATTGGGAGAAAAGTTAGCCAGGGACTTGTTAACAGTTGCTATTTTAAAGTACTTACAGCAAAGAAGCACAGAAATTCTTGTACAAATACAATAATTTAAGTGCTTGTTTCAGTCATGATATATCTTTATCTTTATATAAAGAAGTTATATAACTTCTTTATCATAATAGAAGTTCAAATTAGTCAGACCCACCTACTAATGTTGTAAATTGATCCTTGTAGGAATTACATATAATTTCTTCTTCATCATCCTTAATTCCAATAATGACTATTACTGGTCACTATAAAAAAGACTGGAAAGCTCTATGCTGCCTTTCTTACTAGCTTACATTTGACAATAGTCATTTTATATCAGGAGAAAAGATACATCTTTCTAATTTCCTGGGAGTGAGGGACACAAATGTACTTAATAGGAAGTGAATCCAGGAAGTGTATTTTAAGAAATGCAGGCTATAATATATTTGAGAGACAAAGATAATGTGAAACATTAAGGGACAAATGTGAAGTGGAGAAAAAACAAAACAAGAAACATGAGGGGAGAGTAATGGTTTTAAAAAGTATAGAGAAACAATGTCTCACAAGAAAAGCAGGTTAGGTCAAGCAAATTTCCACTCAGGGCTGAGGCATAGCAACTCTATAACCTTCATGTCTAAGAGTGTAGGATGGAGTTATATCCAGGATCCCTTTATGTGGAAACTCAAAACAAGAACTCATTCTAAGCAGAGAAAGTAGAAGAAATGAACAAGTTCAGTTCAGAGTATTTTTCTGTACATATGAAATTCAGTTCTTCTAAGTTTTAGGAAAGAAGAAATCTGAAACTATTGGCTGAAAGTTGAGTTTTGAGGATTTGAGGTAGATTGTATTTACTTTGTTGCTTATCTATTAACTGAGGGTCAATGGTTAAGGGGGGAAGTTTTTTATAAGAATTCGTGAGAAAATATGGTATTCTTAGATCTTTGCAAAGGTAAAGCTAACTTCCGAAAATGACCTAGGATAAAATTTGACACATTCCTCCCTTGAAAATAATTAAATGCAGTTTAACATTCTTTATAAAAGGTGACAGTGATATAATTGAAGGAAATTCCTCTGGTTTCTCACCTTCAGGGCTCCATCAATGAAGAATGTGATTTCCTTTTTGCAGAATTCCATTTCTGATATTGCTTGTTATGTGGCTTCTCATTTCAAGCCTGACGTGAAGGCCGGTAGAGAGACTGTAAGATTCCTTTTACAGTATAAAGCTAGGGTGAAAACAGCAAAAGTTCTTCCAAAAGTAAAGAAAAATATTGGATTTCTTGAGTGCCTGCTATTTGCTGTCACAATCCAGCTAATTCATAAAATAGGCATCTCAGGAGGGATTATTATTCTTATTTTATTAAGAAGGCCCAGGGAGATTAAGGAAGTTGCTCAAAGACCCAGCTACAAAGTCGCACCTTTGATTCAACCCCCATGTTTTCTTGCTTCTGATATCCATGCTCTTTTCTGATGATCTTTTAATGATACCATTTCAAGAGTTGTGTAAAAAGGAAAAAATACTAACAATGCCAAAATATTGATAAACCTTAAAGAGAATAGGCTAACTGAAAAAAATCTAGTCATAATCATAGTATATGATTATGTTGATATGCAATGCCCAGAAAAAGCAAATTTATAGGGACAACAAGTAATGATTACATAGTACTTCGATGGGAACAGGTAGTGACTCAAGATGGACTCAAGTAATCTTTTTAGAGTGATGGAAATATTCCAAAACTGGAACGTGGAAATATTCCAAAGTACAACTCTGCATATAAACTAAAAACCAGTGAATTGACAACTAAAAGTGAATTCATTTTATAGTATATAAAGAATATCTCAATAAATGTTTTTTAAGACACCATCACCATACTTAACATTTGGTCTTTTTTTGGCTTCATTCTTTTCTACAGATGTAGTTTGTAGTGAAAGGATATAAGTTAGAGGGATGGAAAAAAAATAAGTTTTGCTCTCCACGCATCCATCAAGATACCTATCTGATAGCTAGCCTCTAAGCACTGATGCTTTTGTAGGAGTACAGGTGGAAGAAAGGCAGGAGTTGAAGACATTAGTAAATTCACCAAAGAGTTAGTGAATTCATTGCTTACCACTACCCCTTTCTTGTCCACCAGCTGAACCTTGGGCCAGAGAAGGGAGATGGGATTGAAAGTAGACAGGGTAAAAAGATGAAAGAGAGAGGAAGAAAAAAATTATGAGTCAGAATTAAGCCACAAATGCTACTACCTCCTTTTCATCCCTAATCAATTGAATCACTCCAGGTATGGTAGTAACCACAAAGGAGAAAACCCAGCTGAGTTTCTCATGACCACCCTGGGTTAGAAATGTATCTTTCCCAACGCAATCAAATACTTTCTCAAATGGTGTTAGGTCAGTAGCTGTTTCAGCAACAGCCTTTTATTTCAGAGGCAGCAAGTGTCTTAGCACAAACCCAGCCAGGTGAATCAGAAGTCTTCTCGGCCTGAGATGATTTACCAAGGTTACTAAACCTTTACAACTCAGATCTTTTCCTACATATTAAGGCCGGAGGGACCTTAAAGATTATTTGCATTGAGGATGTATCTCAGTGGTAGAGCACTTGCCTGGCATATGTGAGGCCCTGGGTTCAATCTGCAGTAAAACACACACACACACACACACACACACACACACACACACACACACAGATTTGAAGATCACTTGCAAGAGTAGTCCCCCGCCCCTGCAAAAAAGTAGACGTTTTAAGCAGCAAATCTTTCCTTCAATCTAAATGTAGAAAGTCAAATCTAGAAGACAGGCCAAAGTAGCATTGCTATGTACTGTTTGAGGGTATATGTATGTATCTATGCACATGCATGCTTTCATATCAGTGGGTAATGGTCCAGACCCTGTCTCCTTGGACTTCCTTCCCAAAGTGACTTCTGCTCCAGAGTACTTTATATTTGAGGAGTCTGAGATTCAGAAGATTAAGATGAATTTAGAGGCAACTTGGCAGAGTATACAGGAGATTTTGGTCAGACAGACCTGGAATAAATACCATCTTTTATGACCTTGATGAAAGTAATGTTCTATCAGTTCCTTCATCTGTAAACTAGTTGTTCTGTTCGCTCATGGAGTACTTGAGAGGACTAAGAGAACTCAATATGCAGAGAAGGGACAACATGCCCAGCCTGTCTGATGGACACTTTGCCTATCAGAGGCTGCCTAAGACTGGAACCTGAGTCTTTTGCTCCCTGGTCTAGTGCCTATTCTGTCAAACATTCCACCAACTCCTGAGAATGATGAGAGCACAACACACAGGGGAGGGGTGACCCAGAAGTGCCACTGTCCCCCAGCAAATCCCAGTAGCTGATGCTGTGGTGGGCTGGTGGTTAGGATTCCTGTCTAAGGCTGCTTTTGTGGTATCTGTGTTAAACAGAGTCTTCCTCATGCCAATACCTTCTGTTAATGGCTGCTGAAGAAACTCCAAGTGTGGAAGGGCATATGCCAGATCTTAAAAATAAGATTTAAGTATGCTAATGTGAGAGGCAAGATAGTGTAATGGAAAAGAGCATTGACTCTAAATCAGATTAGATCTGGATAAAATTCTGGCTTTACCACTTACTAAGGGTACATGTGCAAGTTGATATGCAAATTGCTTCACAGAGTGGCAAGTGGCCATCTGGTATAGTGGCTAAGTACATAAACTTGGGGGCCAGACTGGTAGTGCTACCATAGTTCACAACCTTGGGCAAAGGCATTATCTCTCTGCCTTAGTTTCCTAATCAGCAAAATAAGGTTAATAAATAATAGGACCAAATCATATGGCGTTTACAAGGGGCAAGTATTTAGGAAGCTGCCTTTTATATAGTACATTTATCTTATTATTAAGTTTGAGTTGATGTTAGTATAATTGTGAAGATATAAATTTTAAGACATAAAGTTCAGGTTGTCAAGATACATTTATATAAAAATGTATATTAATCCATCAAATATTTTTCAAATAAATATTATGGCTGGAATAAATTTTTGTTTCTCTTTGTTTCTTACATTATATTTTGAGGAATTTTCTATGGTGAAATTTTCCAGAAAGCCACCAAAAGGCCCAATCTTGAACACCTTACAGATAACATGGAGAAGTCATTAGGTTCAGACATATTTTCTTTGTTTATATCAACTTCATAAGTTATATAATACTTAAATTTTTTAAAATCTAGTTCTGTTGTAGCCTGTGTGACATTGGACAAGCCCATTAAATTCCCTGTGCAACTAAATGAGAGGGTTGAACTGAATGGCTCTTCGTCTCATGGCTTCATCATTTATTTCAGTATTCAACATT